GCCCTGCCCGTGCAGCCTGCTGGTGCGCTCCCGGGTGCTGGACTCCACCTGTGCGTTCACTGCCCCAGGCCGGGGGTGGGGGCAGTCTCGGGGCACAGGGGTTGCCCAGGGTCCCCTCCGCCCTAGGACCTAGCCAGAACGACCTTTTCCTTTTGGGGGGACCCGTTTTCCAGTTGCGCACTGGCGCATGGCCTTGGAAGTTTACTCCAGGGATATTCCCACTTGTCCTGTATAGACAGTGCCCCTCTCCTTACCGCGAGACAAGTCTCAGAGGGAAGGGATCATGGAAGAGGAGTGGTCCTGCTGATCACCCTGAGGACCAGATCTGGCCCACTGAGGACTAGGTCCTGCGTAGGCCTAGGGACTTGGCCTCTGTGCCAGGTGGGGCGTTGGTGGTGGCCTCTGTGTTTTCCCACTCTGTGGTGGGGCTGCTGTTTGTAGCAGATGGATGAGGCCATCTTTGGAGCTGGCTGGGCCGGCTGGCACCAGGGCTATAGCTGTGGGCCCCAAGGGTGAATAGCCTCAGTGGAGCCACTGTAGGGAGTGGCCTAGGCCTGAGCCTGAGCAGGTCTTGCACGCCCTGCCCTCAAGCTTCCCCTCTCTAGGGAAAGGAGAGCTGTGACCTTGGATTAAAATCCCTGGGCAGGGAAGTTTCATCCAAGTGTTTACCAGACAGGAGCAAGGTGGTGGTAGAGGGGTGAGGAGAGGCTCCAGGGAGGTCAGACACAACTGTCCCCACCAGGTTTGTGGGGGACCATTTCAGTGTGGAGTTCAGGTGGGAGCAGATGTGACCAGCGGCCTGGTACAGTGGTTTGCCCCCAAAGCCTCACTTGCACCTTGGGCTGGATGCACCTGTGCCTTCTGCCTCGCCTCTTGTAACAGGGCCCACATACCGGGAGTTCACCCCGGGCAGGGGATGCAGTCAGGGCAGGGGCCACGGGTAGCCAGCCACACCCTGAAAAGAACCCAGTGGCTACTATCCCGAGTCTAGAGTCAGTGAACAGGGAGAATTGGTTTTTTGATTTGCACCTTTGGAGTGACTGAGAATGGCCTGGCTGGGGTGTGGCTGGTGAGGGGAAGGGGAGACACATTGGCCTATGCTTGGGCACCAGGGATGAGGCGAGTTGGAGCCTCCTGTGACCGGGACCTGGGTTGTCATCTGGTGTGTCCTTGGCCAAACTGGTGGGCAGCTAGGGTTGTGGTTTTTGGGCTGCAGTTTCTTATAGCCCAGTTTGACAATGCCTGAGAGCACCTAAGTGGGCATAGTGCCCTGGAGTCCCTGAGGGGCACCTACTGGCCAGCAGTCATTTCTGAAGCAGGAAGGCTGCCCTGGCCCTGCCTGGGGTGAGAGATGGAAGGAGAGCTCTGACTGAGAGATCTCTGTCTTGACAGAATACCCTTGCACAAGTTCACATCCATCCGCCGAACCATGACGGAGGTGGGCGGCCCTGTGGAAGACCTGATCCTTAAGGGCCCCATAACCAAGTACTCCATGTCAGCACCTGCTGAGACCAAGGGGCCTGTACCAGAGATACTCAAGAACTACATGGATGTGAGTGTGGGCTGGGCTGCTCAGGGAAGGGGTGAGGTGGGTGGGGCTTGCTCTGTGGGATCAGGTGCTCATGCTCAGCTGGGCCTGCCTCTACCATCCTAGAACCCTCACCCTTGCCTTGATACTGGAGATCTCTGTCACTGAGCTACATCCCTAGTCCTGCCCTCCCCTTCCTCTCGGTGGGTCTTGAGTACTAACTGATCATCAGCTGGGAGCTGGTTCTGGTGTCTAGTTCTAATGCTCAGAACTGTCCCATGGGGCCCAGAGGAGCCTAGAATCAAGTCTGGCTTGAACCTGCCTCAGAGCTGAGGGGTGGGGACCCAAGGGAGAGGTTCCTAGGCTTGTCTGGGTGTAACTGACTGGAGCATCTATCTGTACCTGTCCTGTGGAAGGCCTGGAGTGGTCCTGTGTCATCTTCCCCAGGATCAGCAGTTCCCCCTACTTTTAAAATCCCAGTTCTGGGGATTGAACTTAGTAGGGCCTTGTGTGTGCTGGACAGGCACCCCGCCACTGAGACTATCCCTCTCCATCCTTGTTTTATTTTCTCTTTTTTGAGACAGAGTTTCTGTGTAACCCTGATTGGCCTCTAACTATGTAGACCACACTGGCCTCTAACTCACAGAGCTCTGCTTGCCTCTGCCTCCCGGGTGCTGGAATTAAAGGTCTGCATGGCCTGCACCACCTCCTGGGTGTGGTGGTGGAGGCAGGTGGAGTTCAAGGCCAGTCGGGTCTACATAGTGAATTCTAGGCCTGTTGGGTCTACAGGGAGACCCTGTCTTAAAAAAAAAAAAACAAGTGTACACCATCACACAGGTGCACAGCTCTCTTTGCTTTTTATTTTGAGATCAGGTCTCTAAGTTGTGCAGACTGGGTCTTGAATTTGCAATCCACCTACCTCAGCCTCCTGAGCCCTTGGGATTACAGGTCTGGCTCAGCAGCGTACTGTCCTTTAAGGGGAAACAGGCCCTGAGGGAGAACTCATTGCTGCGCTTGCCTGGGCTTTGTGATCCACTGGGTGGAGCTGATTGTGCTGTCTGTCTGACCCAAGCTCTAGCCTTGTCGGGAAGCTCCAGAGCTAGGCATGTGACTGACTAGGGGGAGGGGGTGGCTTGTTTTGTTCAGCTGACCAGTTCTTGGTTCCCCTGGGTTTGCTGAGTCATGGCACCCCCCCACCCCCCCCACCCCCACTTCTGTTGGGTCAGGAGTCAGGAGCTACTGCTCCCTGGAGCTAAATGGTACTAGATACTGTGTTCTGTAACCCTAGTGACCTAGGCTCCTTTCTTGGCAGACAGGTTCTAGGTGACCAATGACCTCTATCCTCCAAGATAGTTGACAGCTGGGCTTCCCTTCAAGAGGGTTGTGGGGCCCCTCTGTGCCTGCCTGGCCCCCCAGAGCTGGCAACCTTGGCAGCCTCTACAGTGGGTAAACAGATGGGGAACCGAGGACAGGTTCCCTGCTGTGAGGCAGTGACTGCTGGGCCCTGGGCTGGTTGCCTCCAGGTTTGGCTTTTCCCATTATTTATTCAGCAAGACAGTCTTCAGACTGAGCCCCATGGAGCAGGTGCACACCGGGGAGCTGAGTTCCCCCTGAGCAGCACAGGGCCCTACTTGGCTGATCTTTCCCACACCTGGGCTTACAGAGGGACAGGCTTGTCCTGACCACTGACCTTACCTTCCACTGACCCCGTCCTTCCCGAGTCCCATACTGCATTAGGTACAAGGGGTCCAGAAACCCCACACGCCTGAGGCTCGGGGCTCAGTTCTGGGATCCTAGGTCCACTTTACTTTTGGAGACTTTGGGAGCTCCTGTACACATGCAGGCCCAGAAGGTGGGGGTAGATGTGGTAGCTGTGGCCTGGACCCCAGGCCTTTCAGGCTTTGTTCCCTTGTCAGCCACATGGGGAGATGGCACCTCCAACCGTCGTGATGGACATCCTTCCTCCACCAGGCCCAGTACTATGGCGAGATCGGCATTGGGACCCCCCCACAGTGTTTCACAGTCGTCTTTGACACCGGCTCCTCCAACCTCTGGGTCCCCTCCATCCATTGCAAGATGCTGGATATAGCCTGCTGTGAGTGTCCCTGCTGGTCTCTGCCCCAGCACCCCTGCCAAGGGCCTAGAGAGGAAACCAAGGGCCTTGAGCTCTTTGAGGTGCCCGGCTCTATGGTATCTGTCTGTGCTCTCAGCCATCTCAGTGGCGGAGACAGGCCCTGCAGCCAGTGTTGATCTCCGTCCCTCTGGGGAACTGGAGTCCTTTCTCTTTCTCCTAGTTCAGCCTTACTGGGGATTGTATCAGAGGGGACTGTTTGGAGGCAGTGTGGGCTAGAGACTTATAGGTGCCCAGATGTAGGATGCCTCTTAGGTAACTCTTTCCCACCTGTCTACCACATCCAATAGGCCTGGCTGGATCCTTTGTTCTGTCCCTAGGTGGTCCGCTGTCTGGGTGAGACGGCTCTCACTGGCTGCAGCCCTCTCACTGTGGCTGGGAATCTTGCTTACCAAGGATGGCGCAAGCTGAGGGCTGGGCTGCCTCTGGGGCCAAAAGCTCTGGGTATACGGCACATTGTCTAGAGGGTCCTCGGTGTGTGGGCATGTGTCATGGCCAGAGCTCATGTTGGGGAGGCAGCCTGGACCACCAGCCCACAGCACACCGGGGAGACCAGAGGCTATGGCATTGAACAGTAAGCTCACAGCCCCACTCTCCCTCCCACAGGGATCCATCACAAGTACAACAGTGGCAAGTCCAGCACCTTTGTGAAAAATGGCACATCCTTCGACATTCATTATGGCTCCGGTAGCCTCTCTGGGTACCTGAGCCAGGACACTGTGTCGGTGAGTCCCTGGGGCCTGTCCTGGTGCTGGGGGTCTCCATGGCATCTACAACCGAGGAGAGGGCACAGTGGCACTAACCTAACCCTAGCTGTCCAGGAGGGCTGCTGAATTTGGACAGCCATGGCACTGAGTGAGAGGGAGGGTCTGCCTGGATACCACGTTAGCAAAGGACCTTAGTGGTGAGGAAGGAAGTAGAAGGCCATGAGAGCAGACAGTCGTGTGCAGGCTGGAGGGACAACCAGGAGACCCCAGGGTTGGAAGAGTGTACAGGAGAGGCCAAACTGGGCCATGGAGCCCTGGCCAATGAGAGAACTGCCACTCTGGGCAGCTGCTGGCCTGCTGGTTTGGGGGACACCGGCTTGGAAGAATTGAGTTCTGTGTTGGATGATTTGGATTTGAGGTACCAGCAGCAAGTTTTGAGTGGAGCAGGATCTGGACCAGGGGACCAGGCCTGGAGATTGGAGAGGTCCCCAAAGCTTCTTAAGGTTTGAATTAGGTTGGAGAACCCTGTTCAGTGCTGGAGAAGCTTCTGTGCGGAGCCTGGAGAGGGAGAGAGCCCAGACCAGACTCCTGCCTGTTGACTGGAGGGTCTTCCCCCAGGAGAGGCCATTTACCACCCCTGAGTTAGCATTCAGACAGGCCACAGGGGCTGGAGCAAGTCTCTCCTGCCAGAAAGGGGCAGGAACTGGCAGACCCTGCCCACTGGTCCCCCCTGGTTGGGGCTGGTTGAGGCTGGTTGAGGCTGGGAGTGCTCATCTGACCTCTAGGGTGAGGGTTAACACCTCGTGCCTCTGCTACCAGGGCCTTTGTTCTCATGGTGTCCTTACTTCGCAGGTCTGCCTCTGTTTCCGCTCAGTGGCCGCCATGGCCATCCAGTCATATAGTGTCTCTGCCTGCTTCCTGTACCCTGTCTGCTAGAGGCTCCTTGGGGTGCTTCTCTGGGGCCCCTCATTGAACAGGATGTTACCCAACCTGCCTCGGCCTCCGCAGTTATCTCTTCCCACTTCCTGCTCTGGCTCTGGCTCTTGCCATCTGTAGCCTGAGCTGGGCAGGGCAGGCAGCTGGTGGGCAGGGGGTGTGTGGCAGTTGTGGGTTTCCAAACCAGCTCAGGCTGGCTGCAGGCTCAGCTTGTCCCCAGGCCCAAGGGCAAGAGCAAAATTGGCCCAGTGGGTGGAGATGTGGAGGGGTGTGAATGAAGTGGGATGTGAGCCTACCTCTCAGCCCTTTCTCCTTCCCCGCTCTGGTTAACACAAGGTCCTCATAAGCTCTGGAGGGTGGGTATCACCCCACTCCTGCACACCACATCCTTGTCCCTAGCTGTGTGGCCATGTCCAGCCTCCCTCTGTATGACTGTCCTGAGAAGGAGTGTCAACTGTAACGTGTGTCCTGGCCTGTAGGTGCCATGTAAGCCAGAGATGTCTGGAATCAAGGTGGAGAAACAGACCTTTGGAGAGGCCACCAAGCAGCCTGGCATCACATTCATCGCAGCCAGGTTTGACGGCATCCTGGGCATGGCCTACCCCCGCATCTCTGTCAACAACGTGGTTCCAGTCTTTGACAACCTGATGCAACAGAAGCTGGTGGACAAGAATATCTTCTCCTTCTACCTGAACAGGTGTGGCTGGAAAGGCGTGGTCCTCGCTCTCCCCTGAGCTCAGCTGGAGGGATGGGGATAGAACTTAGAGCCCTAGTCCGTGCTCCAGGCTTGCCCAGGGCACCAGACCTCTGACCTTAGGGCATCTGTGGACTGGAGTACTAACAGATAGTTACCTGGGAGTAAAAGCCACGTACCAGGGTCTGTAGCCAGAAGACTCTGGAGGCCTAGGTCATGGAGTCCTGGCCTCTGTCTCCCTCCTGAGGCCAGGCTGGCCAGTGTCGCAGTGGATCCTGGGTATTGGGAAAGGTTGATGTGTAGCCAGAGGAGACATGGCTGTGAGCCCTGATCTGTGACAGGCCCCTAGAGGAGGGGCTGCTGGAGGCTTCCTTATAGGGAGATTAACCCTGGATGGCAGGGTAAAATGGCCACAGGGGAGGACTGAGAGCTTGGAGTTCTACATAGGGAGTGGCCTCTGGGGGATCTCCCTGAGGGAGAGCTGGGGACCTTCCTGTTGGAGAGCAGAGATTCCCCCACAGCACAAATGAACCCCCACCCCAAACACACAAGGGACCCTGCAAGGAGCCTCCGGCCCCAATTTCTCATCTCCTGCAGGCCTACCTGTGCAACAGTCCTGCTTAGACAGGCCAGGCCTGGTGTTGGGAGGGTTTCACTGGCTGGGTTGAGCCCCTGGTTGAGGGCAGGATGTGAACGGAGTGGTGGGAGGTGGCCTCCCTCCCACTCTGCTAATGGCTGCACATTCCTTTTGTAGGGCTCATTTACATACCCACCTTAGCCAGGATGAAGTCACATGCCCGCCCGCTCCAAACTCTGGCTCCAGGCCTGACCTCTGACCCTTGACTTCGGGTCACTGGCCCAGTGCCAGCCCAGAATCTTGCTTGAATGTCCCTCTGCTGCCTAGAGGCAAGGGTGTAGATGAATGGATGGGTTCACCCAGCCAGGACCCCTGGATACAGGGACAGGAAAGTCTGGTCCCCATAGCAGGAGAGTACCCACTGGTTGTCTAGGTCCCAGGCTGGAGACTGCTCACTTCCCCTGACTCACAGTGTGTTAGGAGTGGGGGAGCCTGGATTACCGCATACCTGTTGGCCTCTGGCTCCCTTCTAGGATCCGAGTAGCTGAAATGGTAAGCTGGGCCCCAGGACGCTCACTCAGCGAGGTCCCAGGCTGGAGACCCACAGGTATGGCTGCCATGCAGGCAGGTGTGAACACAGTGGTGTGAGGGACTGACACTCAGACTCCAAGGAGAGAGAAGGCAGATCCTGCACCCATTATGTTTCTACACCTGGGTTTCAGAGGTGATGGCAGGCCAGAACCAGGCGGGGCGGAGCCCTGGGTATGTGCACAGCATGAGCCTCAGGGCTTCTGAATATAGGACGGGTCAAGAGGGTGGGTGGGGATTCCTGGCAGGGTGGCAGATCCTGAAATGAGAGCTGTGGGTCCTAGGTGGACTGTGCCCCAGGCTGAGTCCTGGCTAGGTCGGGAACTCACACCCTCCTGCTCTGGTTGGAGGTAGCAAGCTCTTACTTGTAGATTGTTTGAGAACCACGACACTGTGGCTTGAACCACCTGCCTGTGTTCTGCTGGAGGACACTGGTGGGCGTGAGACAGCAGGAGATTAAAGATGGAGGGAGTTGAGAGAACGGTTTGGGGGAGGAGCTGTGAGTTTGTGGATACAGAGCATTCTTAACACAGCCACTGCACTGGCCGAGGGTGGAGCCAGCTCAGCTTCTCAGGACTCTGGCCCTGGCTTCCTCCTAAGGCCTGCCTTGAGTTTTCCCGGGGAGAGAGCTGTCCTTTGACTCCTGCCCCTTGCTTCCCAGCTGTAACCTGGGCCGTCATGGCTGGCCTTGAACACACCCTGCCACCTCCTCTGCACAGGAGAACTGCTGCACCTCGCAGCCTAACAGATTACACATAACTGGGCTAGGATTACACCCCACCCTACCTCCGCCCTGAGGAGAAAGGCTCCACCTTCCTCTGGGTCTCCCCAAGTCCACCATCTAAGTCTGCCTCAGTTTCACTTGACAGCCAGCCTTTGGCCCCACAGATTATTTTATTCCAGTCTTTTCTTCCATTATTATATTCGTGTGTCAGAATGTACGGGTGAGTGCCGTTGCCCATGGAGGCCGGAAGAGAACTTGGGATACCCTGGAGCTGGAGTTAATTATAGGCTGTTGTGAGCCACCACATGAAGGGGCTGGGAACTGAACTCCGGCCCTCTGCAAGAACAGTACACACTCTAGCTGCTGAGCCATCTCTCCAACCTCCTTTATTCCAGTCTAATTACAAATACTAACACACCCTTCACACAGTACTGTTTATGCATACAGGGTACAGAATGGCTAAGAAAGGTTCAACAGAAGTCTTATGAACCACAGGTGCAGAGATGTCAGATGCGGGTCTGGGTGGCAGGCATGTTCAAGGGTTAGTTTGAAGTGGACTGAGTTCAGGGGCTGGACAATGTGTTTGAACCCAGCAACAGAGGCAAGGACCCTTTGCTGGGGCATTTCTCCCAGGCCAGGTTTGTGCTGAGTGACTGGTCAACATGCCTTCCATGTTGTCTTGGGGGTACTCTTTTAATAGTCCTAGGTTAGAAGGTTCCTTCTGGTGTGACAGATAAATGTGCATCTGTATTTTGGGTGTGGTTGGATAACATTTTCAGGTTATTTACTGGTACAGGTAAGTCATCAGTTTGTGCCTCCCAGAGTGCTGGTGGATGGTGGCTGTTTACTTGTGTAAAGAAGATGTAGTCATTTTTTTCTTGGCGCTTACACTCAAAATGGAGTAACTCAAGCCGAGGCTGTTGCTTTATAAAATGGAATAAGTCATCCAGGCATGGTGGCGCACACCTTTAGTCCCAGCACCTGGGAGGCAGAGGCAGGTGGATCTCTGAGTTCGAGGCCAGCCTGGTTTACATAGTGAATTTCCTGACCAGCTGGTGTTACAGGGAGACCCTGTCTCAAAAAGACCAAAAATAAAGTGGAACAACTCAAGGCTAGGCAGAGCTGCTATTCCATACAATGTAAGGGTCCCTCCTCAGGGAAGTCTTGTTTGCCCCACTTACCCCTGCCTTCGACCACTGGCCTTCTGAATACTCTCCTGCGCTGGTAAGCAGAGCCTGACCCCTTCTTTTCCCAGGGACCCCAGTGGGCAGCCCGGAGGTGAGCTGATGTTGGGTGGCACTGACTCTAAGTACTACAAAGGAGACCTGTCCTACGTGAATGTCACCCGCATGGCCTACTGGCAGGTGCACATGGACCAGTGAGTTGTGGGCATTGCTGGGGGGAATGTTGTGTGTGTGGCACGCTGGGGTCCTGCGAGCCCCCTGTGTCACGTGAATCACCTCATTTCATCACCTCAGACCACCCAGGGTCCTGTACACTTTGGGTGGCATTGGGGAAACACAAGCAAGGAGACTTACACGCTCCTGCCCCCAGGTTGGACGTGGCCAATGGGCTGACCCTGTGCAAGGGAGGCTGTGAGGCCATCGTGGACACGGGGACGTCCCTCCTCGTGGGCCCTGTGGATGAGGTGAAAGAGCTGCAGAAGGCCATCGGAGCCGTGCCTCTGATCCAAGGCGAGGTAAGCCTCAAGCCTGGGTGGGATGACCAGAGGGCAGAAGGGTTCCTGAGGCCACACCCCCAATGCCCCGTTCTTCTCTTGTGCCTCTCAGTACATAATCCCCTGCGAGAAGTTGCCCAGCCTGCCCTCTGTCTCCCTGAAGTTAGGAGGCAAAAACTATGACCTGTCCCCAGAAGACTATGTACTTAAGGTGAGTGGGTCTGGGCGTGGCAGTGTCAGACCCCTGACACCCCAGGTGGGGTGGATGCCACAAGACCACATCCAACCATTCTGCCCTTACAGGTAGTTCAAGGTGGGAAGACCATCTGCCTGAGTGGCTTCATGGGGATGGACATACCCCCACCTAGCGGGCCTCTCTGGATCCTGGGTGATGTCTTCATCGGTCTCTACTACACTGTGTTTGACCGTGACAACAACAGAGTTGGCTTTGCCAAGGCTGCGAGGCTCTAACTCGCCTCTTGCCCGCCAGCAGGGAAGCAGACCAGAGTCCACTAGAGGAGGCCAGCCAGCCCCACCCTTCCGCCCACCCCATTCACACGCTCACACTCAGCCAGTGTTGTCGGGGCCCCGGGAGGCCTGGCTGGAGCTGGTCTTGCCATTCTGTTCTGTGGTTTCCCTCCTTGGGTTCAGATAGCTGCCCTCTGCCTGTCTGAGTGAATTCAAGGCCCGCCCAGCACACAGGGCACCTTAAAAGGCCCCTACTGGGTGTCTGCTGAGATTGTGTGCCCTGCTGTGCCGCCCTTTGCTGTGTGGGCAGTGCTCCACAGCTGGCAAATGGGTCTTGGGATCCCTCTTGGAAACCTGCCCCACCCCAGGCCCTTTGCCCAGCCTGGGGATGGCACCGGACTCCACTCCCCAACTGTGTGTCCTGGCCTGGCCGAGGTCTGAAGATGAGGATGGAAGCCAGCCTCATACGCCTGCAGGGTCACCTGGGGCCTGACTCCACCTGGGAGGGCATGTGTCAGTCTGGGGTAGGGACAGGATAGCTTACTGGCTCTAGCTGGCCTCTGCTGCCCTCTTGGGGGGCAAGGCAGCTGGGGAGCCAAAGTTGATGTACAAATACAGTTGTTTGGGCCTCAAATTTCCCAGTGTTGGTGTGCTCTGTGCTTGTTCTAAATCGGGACCTGGGAAAGGCTAGTGAGACCCAGTGTTTGACGGCTGACTTAGGGTCAGGCACACTGTGGGGTTAGGGGTCGGGTTAGAGCCCAGGTCTGGCTTTCAAGGCCAAGCCACCCTGCACAGGGGACTCCTAAGACTCTGGCTTTCTATTTGGCCTTGTGGGTAAGAAGAATCTGGCTAGAACTGGTGGGCTTTGGGGCTTCAGGCAGTAGTCACCAGAGGCATGTGGCCTTGGCTGGAGGCTGTGGGGCAGGTCTTTGGCTCAAGTGTAGGGCCCTTGTTGAGGGAGGTGGCCCAGGCCAGCCCCTGCTGCATTTTTCCAGGAATTCTACCTGTCCTCAGAAGAAACAAAGCCCTGGGGGAATCTCTGTGCCCCCCGCCCCCAGGCCTCCATGAGCCAAGCCACTTGCTGGGGCTTGGTGCTCTGGGCAGGCTGCCTTCCACCTGGGCCTCCTTACCATGCCCTGGAAGCAGCCTTCTGCTGGCCAGAGTTGAGGCATGTCTGTCTGGGATCTTTGGGTTCAGGGATGAGAAGCCTCTGACCATGGGCTGCAGTTACTACAAGTGTTGGTATGTGGAAGGCTGGGATGGACTGTGGAGAGGAACAGGTTCAGAAGCAATAGTGGAGGCACTGGGCAGGGTTTTAAGTGTTGAGTAGGAGCCTGTGATTCCTTGGCAGTAGGGCCAGGAGTCCTTTTGGGAGTCTTGGAGACCCTGACCCTTAAGCAGGTGCAGGACATAGGGACCCTTTGGAGTCTTCCTGGCACCCTCGGCCTCCTATCACTGGTCTCAGCTAAAGGGGCTTTGGGAACCGTTCCCCCTGCCCAGCTCATCTCAGCTGGGCAGCTTCTCTGGGAAATGGAAGCCAAGAGTTGCCAGGAAGCTGGTAAACATATGCCCTGTGTTCTCTGCCTGAAATCTGAGCAGGGAGTCCCGCAGGGCCTGGCTGGGCTTGAGACCAGTGTCATCAAAGGCTTGTGCATTGAAGCTGGAAGGCACAGCTCCTCCTCCTCCCTCCCATGAGTGCAGCCAGGCGGTGTGGTGCTGCTGCTGCTCCTGCTGCACCCAGCGGTGCCCTGGGGAGGACCCTGGAATCTGACTCTAGGTTCAGATCCAGTCTCTGCTTTTCTAGCTAAGTGAACCCCCCCCCCCCCCCCCCCCCCCCCCCCGGGCACGCGCACACACAGATTTTTTTTTTTTTTTTTTTAATCTGCTTTTAGCCCTGGGCGCCGCGGGGGCCCCCGGGAATCGGTCGCTGTCTCCAAATCCCCCGTCTTCTTTTTCAGCCAGGGGACCCCCCCCCCCCCCCGCCTCCAGTCCCTGGGTAGGGCAAGGCCCTCCTCACTGTAGGGAGGGGTAGGGGCTGGCCATGTCTGCACCCTAGCTCTCTGATGGTGGGTGCTTCTCATTCTGTTCACACCCCTGGCCTCACAGACAGTGAAGCAAGACCTTACCCAAAGCCAACCCTTCCCTCACTAGCTCACGGTGCAGGGGTTGGGGTATGGATTTCAGAGCCCTGAAGTTGACTGTTGGGCAGAAGGCCCTGACTCAGCTCTTACCTTGACAGTGACCTTGAGCCGAGGCTGCCCTGGGGGCTCAGGGACCCTGCTGTTTTCTGAAGTCTGAGGCTCACAGGCCAGACCTGCCTAGGGCAGCACTGGACCTAGATTGTATATGACAGAGAGGGCCTCAAAGGGATTGTATCTGGTGCAGGGAACAGACATGCAGAGAGGGGCAGCAAGGTGCACAGCCAGGCACAGGCTTGGAAGGCACTTTCTCAAGCCTGGACCTCAGCAAGTCTAGATGCCAGGCCCTTGGGAGGCAAAAGGGTGGTGGAGTGGGGCCAGAGAGAACTGTCTGGCAGGGCCCATCTGCCCTCAGGCCCTGTGGACTGAGGCTGGGCTCCATGAGGGAGTGGCCAGAAGAGGACCAAGGAAAAGGGAGGGAGGGGTGCCCCAGGAGGGAGGGGTACCCTGGCCTGCTTGGGAGTAAATTCCACCCATTCTAAGAGTTTTATCAACACAAGAACCACTCCAGGCTGAGTTCCTGACACGCGGGTCTGAACTGCCAGGGTTGCAGGGGTTTGGGGTGGGGCTTAGGCTGGAAACGGGGAGGATTTTTGCAGGGGGCAGGGGTGCTGAGAAGGATTAAGGGTTGGAGAGCCCAGGTTCCATGAGGTTAGAAAGACCAAGGGCTGGGGAGCGCTGGAGCACTCTGGAAAGGGTCTCTGAGAAGAGCCAGGAGGAAGGAGAGCAAGGGAAACAAGGTTGTGTACAAATAGGGAGCGCTTTAGCACAAGGTGGGGAGGACCCCCTGGAGAGAGGACCTTTGGCTGGTGAGGTAGAGGCCCTGAGGGAAGGTCTGTTAGGGGGTCTGGGGGGTGAAAGGGACCTGCTGGGATGTATCTGGAGCTGGGGAATCAATTCAGAACAAGTGTCCAAAAGGACTGAGAATGAGAGGACAGAAGGACGCTGCATGGGGCCAAGACTGGGAGGGCAAAGTTGCTTAGGAGAAGTAATGGGGGGGGGGTTGACTGACGCCAGGTAGGATGAGGATCAGAGGGGCCATAGGCAGATGCATGGACTGAGCTCCAAGGAGAGCAGTGTAGGGGCCTCCAGAGGGACCAGGAGCTAGGGCTTTGGAATAGGACACCTGGGCCGGAGGGCAGAGGGAGCTTGCTGTGCTGGCTCAGGCCAACCTGTCACAGGTCACACACTCCAAACTCAGTTTATAAGTGGACAGGATTAGCATGAATGAGCGAGGCTTGATGTAGTCAGACTTGGGGAAGGGAACAGGAACTCCAACAGGGCTGGGGTCAGAGGTGGGGCACTGAAGGAGGTGCACTTGGTGGGCTCAGAAGGGATCATTCGGGGCTTTGACCTTGGGGACAGAGGACTTGGAAGACGGGATTGAGCAAACACCAGTTCTTCAATGGGGGTTTGGTGCCCTACATCCCATTTGTCAGGGACTCTGATCTTGCAGTCTGGGAGTTTCAAGGGACCAGAGGCTCCAAAACCAAGCCTGATAGACAGGGACAGCTCAGGCGGGGGCTCAGCTACGCGTTAGGATGGGGCACAGCTGGAGGAAGAGTGGATTCCACTGTGGATGGGCTTAGGGAGGCTGAGAGCAGGACAGGACATCCTGGGGAGAGGGCAGAAGTGTGGGAGGTGAGACTCAACAGGCCGGGTCTGGAGCGAGGTTTAAGGGAAGGGGGTTCTGAAGGCACTGACCCTGGAGCTGGTGGAACAGCATGCACAGGAGAAGAGCAGGAAGAGGGGCTGGCTCTTGGGCAGGTAGGTGGGGGGTTCAGGAGAGACTTGCTGAGGAGCTGAGGGTCTCTAGAGAGCGAGGACTGGTGGGCTGGGGTGACAGCTCGGTGGGCTAAGGAGACGGGCGCTGTGCAGTTCAGGACTTGCAAGGGTCCCAGCCTAGCCTGGCTTGCAACTCCCCCGGGGTCCCGGTTTTCGTCCGGCCGGGGCCCCCCTCCTTCCCGAGGGAGGAGGCTGAGGTGTCTGCGCGCCATCGCCTCCGCCACCGTGAGTCAGGCTCTGGCTGCAGCCGCGGCCCGGCCTGGCGCTGCGGAACGCGCACCGGCAGCGGGGGAGGCAGTGGCGCCGCCGAGCCCCGCGCTCCCCGCCCCCAAGGTTGGGCAGCTGGGACGCAGATCCGCGGACAGATACCGGCCGGGACGGCGGAAGGACGCGCGCTACGAGTCGTCGCCAGTAGGTGAGGGCGCGCGGTCCGGGAGGCTGCCGCAGACCCGGCCCAAACCGGGACCGCGCAGCCCGGGCCGCAGCCCCGGGTGCTCGGCGGTCAGTGCTCGGTGGCGCAGGGCGCGAGAGCCTGGCCGCCTCTTGGAACCGTCGTTGTGCGTCTGTTCGTGGCACCGGGGATGGGGGAGTGAGGGGCTCCGGGTGACACTGTGCGTGCTTGGGGTGCCCGGTGCCGCTTTCGGCCGGGTTTGCGGGGCGATGCACTCGAGTTTGGAGCCCCGCGCCTGTGCGTCTCTGGCTACGTGCCTGAGCCCGTGCGGCTGTGCGTGTCGCGCTGTGGGTCACGGTGGGCAGTTGTTTACCTGGCGCGTCTGGGCGCGCGGGCGTGCCGGGGCCGGAGAGCCCGGCGGGTGGTGCTGGCGTCTGTGCGTCTCTGCCAGCGCTGCACATTCTGCTAGTTGGTGAGCAGAGCGGTGTCATTGTAGGTCTGCGTGCCCTGGCTGCGCGGGGGTTCAGGGGTGCTCCGCTGATCGCAACAGGGTGTCAGCGTGCTGAGGGGGTGCTGTTGTGTGTGTGTCGGTGGGTGAATGTTTGTGTGCAGATGGCAACGCGATGAAAAGCCCCGATGTGCTTGCCAAGGCTTCTGCGAAGGGCTTTGGCAGCGGCAGCGGCCGGGCCGGGTCGGGGAGGCAGGTGGCGGGCAGGCTGGCGGCTGGCCCCCTCGCGGGGCTTTCTATCTCCCTGGGGCTGTGGATGGGGCTCCAGGGGAAGATGCTGCAAGGCTCAAGGGTGGGTGCTCCTGGGTGTTTGGGGCCCAGCTCCTCCTCACTCTGTCCCTCTGTCCAGGGCCCCGGCCAGTGCCCAGCCCAGCTGGGAGCCACGGCCAGCACCACGGACGGCGCCCAGGAAGCCCGAGTCCCCCTGGACGGGGCCTTCTGGATTCCCAGGCCCCCAGCAGGTTCGCCCAAGGGCTGCTTCGCCTGTGTGTCCAAGCCACCTGCCCTGCAGGCTGCAGCCGCCCCGGCCCCTGAACCCTCGGCCTCACCTCCCATGGCGCCCACTCTGTTCCCCATGGAATCTAAAAGTAGCAAGACCGACAGTGTTCGGGCAGCTGGTGCCCCCCAGGCCTGCAAACACTTAGCAGAGAAGAAGACGATGACAAACCCCACCACGGTCATCGAGGTCTACCCTGACACCACCGAGGTGAACGACTACTATCTGTGGTCCATCTTCAACTTCGTCTACCTCAACTTCTGCTGCCTGGGCTTCATCGCCCTGGCCTACTCCCTTAAAGTGAGCCTGGGCTGGGGGAGAGGGCAGGACAAGGGGTGGACTGGGCTGGGGGAGGGGGCAGGACAAGGGGTGGACCATCCCTCAGTGGAGCCCAGGACAGAGCAGCTGCAGTTGAAGAGCCAAGGGATGCGTGCCCAGCTGAGAGATCTGTCCTGGATCCAGAGAAGTGAGGCTGTTCGGAAGGTCTAGGCCCTGGGGGTGGGGTGGGTGGGACCCGGATCATCAGCTCTGCACAGCCAGTTTAGCCCAGCCATTTCGAGCAGGCACTCAGAGCTCAAGGTCCTGTCCTCTGGTCAAGGGACATGGGAATTCGGCCTGGCCAGCAGCCACACCTAGGTGAATAAGATGAGACCGGGTAGAGCCAGAGGACTTGGAATCTTGTGCCTGCCAAAAAGCAGAGGGGTGGCCTCAGGGCCCTTTCAGAGCCTCTTATGTCACCCCTCTCTGGGGGACCTGATGCCAGGCACTTATACCCACCCAGCCAGGTGCTTGGTAAGAGACCAAAGCCTGCTGACCTGAGCAGCCCTGGGTAAGAGTAGAGAAACATCCCTTCCCCCACCCCGCTCTGCACCCACAATGGATACAACTTCCAAGACCAACTCCCCTTTGCACTGGGAGGAACTGACTGGGAGCAGAGCAGGATGGCAGGCCGGCGGGACCCCTCCACCCCCACCCTAGGGCAAAGTGGGAGAATAGCCACAGCTGTGGGGCCGGGGAGCAGATGTGTCCAGAATGGTACAGCTGGTGTCCCAGGTAAGAAGTGAGCAGCCCTGGGCTGTTAGAGCCCCACCAGCAGGGTGTGGGAATGGCGCCTGGGTGCCCTCCTCCAATCCTGCCACTCCGGAAGGAAGGGCTTGGCTCACAATTACATAGATCATCACTTCCTGAGCCCAGACTTGAATGGCCCAAGCCAGATGCAGTCTCGAGATTGCAGCTGCTCTGTTAGGGGAGTAGTGGCAAGGACTGGGGGAGCAGCAGGGATTAAAGAGAGGGCTGGGCTGACCTGGAAGGCAGGATGCCTGGACAGCCCAGCCCAGCCCACAATCCATCTGTGAGCGTGTACCTCACCATGGTCCGTATCATGCGCCTGGCCACCTGGCTCTCTCCTCCTCTTCCGGACTCATGCTCAGCATGTCACATCATCATACCTTCATCTCCATCCAGGCCTGGGTGTCTCACCCTGGGCTGCCCCACGGGTGCAGGGCTTGTGTGTATGAGTGCAGATCTGTGAAAGCATGTGTGTATTTGTACATGTGTGTGACTTACCACACATGTTTGGTTGAGTGCGTGTGTGTCTGTATTTGAGTGTGTGGCATGGGTATTAGTGTGAATGTTAAGTGTGTGCTTCTGTGGGCGTGTTTATATGGATGTGAGTGTGGACACTTGAGTGTGTCTGAGCATCATTACATGCACATAAGTATGTGCATGTAGCATGTTCATGTGTGTGAGGGAATGCACATGTGAGTGCGCCTGTGTGTGAGTGTGCAAGGGCACATGTAGAAATGACTGTCCACATGCATGTGAGGGGTGTCAGTATAAGTGCCTATGTGCATCTGTGTGTGCATCGTAAGTGAACACATGTTTAAGTAGACATTGCATTGTAAGTGTGCATGCAAATATTAGTGTATCAATACATAAGTGTGTGTATGTGTGCTTGTGCAGAGGGGCAACATGAGAACCAGCCCTAGGGACTTGGACTGTCCTAAGGCCAACTCAGCTCTGTTCCCCGGGCCAGTGCAGGGCAGAGCGCATCATTCCAGGCTGCTATGGAACCCAGCCTCCCCTGGTGCCGTCTCTCCCTGTGCTGCATGCGGCCTGAGGATGTGGGCATGGGTGCCTGGATCCTGTCTGGGAGCTGTCCCCTCCTCCCCTGGCTCAGGCTGTGTCCAACTGGCCAGGCGGGGTAGCCCATCTGGTGTGAGCTGTAGGTAGGTCAAGTGTTTCTGGATGGTGCTGCGTGTGTGCTGGGGTGTGAGTTTGACACTTGGGAGAGGAGCGGGCTCTCCCCTTCTCCTTCATACTGCTGCTCCCTGAGGCTTCGGGGCTTCTCCGGGGGTGTGCAGGGTAAGCCTGGACCAGGTCGAGCCTCACCTGATGCCTGGGAATTGGTTCACCTGTGCCCCCAGCTGTAGCCTCCTGACCTGCTGCAAACACAGGCACAAACACACAAGTGGAAGAGGACTCAGGAGGACTTGGCTGGTTCTCTAGGCACCTTGACTTGCTGAATCCTTCCCTTCATCTGTTCACAAACAGAGACAACATTGTTTAAGCCAGCACATGAGCCTGCGGGGCTGTTAGGCAGTGGGTGTGAGATGGTGGTGTCCTTACCTGCCCCACCAATCCATCTCCTACCAGGCCACCATCCATCCCTTCATGCACGTGGGCCGGGTCAGATTCATGCAGGCTGAGATGGAAGCCAAGTGTCAGGGGAAGTACAAAATACAGAAAATCAATTTTCCATTCATGCATTCTCCACACACTGCCTCCTAACGGCACGACTCCGCCTTTAGCTGGATGGAATCCAGCTTCCCATCTCGGAGTTCCAGTGCCTTCCCTTTCCCGGGGAAGCATCGTGAACTGTGTGCGCACCTTAACTCCCAGGTGTCCTTTCCGTCTTTGGTGTGAGGTCTGTGTCTCTTTCCTACCCAGCCTCTAAGAGCCTCCTTCCTTGGACACATCTGCCTGCCCCACCCCCAGGCCCACCCTCATCTTGGTGTCATCAGTGTTCAAAGCAAAGTGACCAGCATGGCAGTCAAAGAATGTTGTTTGAATGGGTGAATGGACCACGGATGAGACTGGGAGGACACATGACCCAGTGGGGCTCAGGGCAGGGGCTTCTGGGAGGAGGCAGTCTTTCTCCTGGGTCTTGAGGATGGGTGGAGGGAAAGGTGTTTCACATGGTTAAAGGAGCAAACACTAAGTGTGGACATCCTCTGTGGGGAGCAGAAGTGTGGAGGACAGAAATGGGGGTGCAGTGCAGCCAGCATGTGGCAACTGCTCAACCTGAGCTCTGGAGGCTTGGGGGCTCCCCAGTGAGAGGGAAGTGCTAAAATAGGAGAGAAGGTGCTGTGTTGGTGTGTGTGCACGTAATACATACCTGCTCATTTCCTTCTTCCTGAATATCAGTGTTCTCCATCCACCCATTCACCTGCCTAACCACACACCCATCTACCCATCTGTATATCCATACCATGCCTCTCCACCAATCCATTCACCCACCCATCTACCCATCTATCCATCCACCCCCACCCACCCATCCATCCATCCATCTGCTCATTTACCCATTCACATGCCCATCTCACCATCGATGCACAACACACCCACCCATCTACCCATTTACTCATCCAGCCATCCACCTATCCATTCATTCACCCACCCACCAACTCATCCATCCATCTATTCGCCCAGCCACCCATCCATCCGTCTGTCCATACCACACCCATCCACCTACCCATCTACTCACCCACCCACACATCCACTCACCTATCTGTCTACCCATCCATGTATCCTTGTATCGTAATGTGATATTTCAGTCCATAACAGGCCACATACACAATGCTAGTCCCATTAGGACTGCATCACCTGGTGGTGTCGTAGCCGGTTTAATTTGTGTAAGTACTCTATGATTTGTCATGATGGTGAAGTCACCTGACCTTCCTCAGAACATACCCATCATAAGAAATGCACGACTCCATTGGTCCATCTTCCACTCCGTTCACCCCATCCAGGTAGCACGGACCCTCCACCTACTCGTTGGCACACAAGCCTTCAGACCCCCTTGCTCCCTCCCATCACCACCAGCCTTAACATCAGTCCACTAAACTGCTCCTCTGAGGTCATGTTCTCAGTGGCACCCTATGTGCCCACCAGCTGTTAGTGTGCTGTGCCCTCCATCTCTCCTTGGGCTCGACACACAGGTGCATCTGTTGGTCCTCAGCCTTCCCTCTTTCCTCTCCCTCCTCCAGCTCAAGCAGTCTGAGAGCAGCCACTGGACACCTTTGGTCCCTCATCTCCGTCCTTGACAGCACAGTACCCCGTCCCGCAGTGTGCTCTGGCCTCTGCTCCTTTCTTCTCCTCTCCGCCTGCTCCATCAACCCTTCCTGCCTCCCTGTGTCCACATCCCCCTTTCTGTTCCCTCTTGTAGTTCCTATCCATCTGCCCATCCTCCCTGTCTCTCTGAATTTCACTCCTCCATCTACCTGCAGGTACGCACCCTCTCCCTGCTTTCACAAATCCCTCCAAACCCTTCTTCCCTCCCAGCCTCCCCCG